CATGAAAACATATTTCCATATAATAGTGAATGCAAATATGAGCTTGTTACACCACTACCTATACCTGCAGCAGAGCATGAGTCTGATGAAAATGCATTACGTGAAAATCATTACCATCCACCTTATACTGAACATCCCATTGATGAACCATCAGTTGCCAGGAATAACCATGGTCTTACCCCTGAAACATGTGATGATAATAATACTCAAGTTCTCACATCTACCACCCCAAGAAGAAGCACCAGACAGAAAAATGCCCCTCAGTGGCTTCAAAATTTTGTGACTAATTTCAGTCACAGAGAAAATTTCCAGCCAGATATTCAACCTATAACAACCCTATTTTCTTCCCAGTCCAGCCCAAGTATTTTCCCTTCTAATGTTACACAGAGTTTTAGTTCAAATTACAATGGTTTCTTTGCTAATGTTAACACTATTCAAGAGCCTTCCTCTTATAGGGAAGCTAGTACTAGAGCTGAATGGATTGAAGCAATGAATGCAGAATTTGATGCACTTGAGAAAAACAATACTTGGGATCTTGTTTCACTAACCCCTGACAGGAAACCAATTGGCTCTAAATGGGTGTTTAAGGTGAAGCTGAAGGCAGATGGGACTCTGGATAGATGCAAGGCTAGGTTGGTAGCCAAGGGGTACCATCAAGTTGAAGGGGTTGATTACTTTGAGAGCTTTTCACCTGTTGCAAAACATGTTACCATCCGGATTTTTCTGGCTGTTGCTACTGCGAGATCGTGGCCCATTTTCCAGCTTGACATTAATAATGCCTTTTTACATGGGTTCCTAGAGGAGGAAGTGTTTATGTGGCCACCGGAAGGATACACTAAAGCAAAGAAGGGGCAGATTTGCAGGCTTAAAAGGTCACTTTATGGGCTTAAACAAGCCAGCAGACAGTGGAACACAGAATTAAGCAAGCATCTAGAAAATTATGGTTTTCATCAGTCAACACATGATCATTGTTTATATATTCTGACTAAGGGTAATTCTTTTGTGGCAGTTCTTGTATATGTAGACGATCTGCTTGTGACAGGAAATGATGAAACAGAGATTCAGAACCTCAAGGCATCTTTACATTCAACTTTCACTATTAAAGATCTGGGTATTGCAAAATATTTTCTTGGTATAGAAATAGAAAGAACAGAGATTGGAACTTATGTTAGTCAACGAAAATATGCACATGATTTGGTTGCTGATGCTGGCCTGTCAGGAGCAAAAATTACGGTCACACCACTACCAAAGGGCCTGAAGTTCACTGAAAGCAATGACAAATTGCTCGACAATCCTGATAAGTATCGAAGGCTCGTTGGGAGGCTTTTGTATCTTACTTTAACCAGGCCAGATATCGCCTTCAATGTTCAGCAATTGTCACAATTTGTACACTCACCGACACTGGCTCACTGGAATGCTGCGGTTCATGTTGTTAAATACATCAAGGGCACTTCTTCTACTGGGCTATTCTATCCTACAACCAATGGATTTAACATTGAAGCTTACTGTGATGCCGACTGGGCTTCCTGCCTGGATACAAGAAAGTCTCTTACAGGATATTGCATTTTCTTGGGAGGAGCTCTTATCTCCTGGAAAACAAAGAAACAAACTACCGTTTCCAGAAGTTCAGCAGAGGCAGAATATCGAA